CCCACTCAAAGTTAAACTGCAAACTCACATAGAATCAACTCCTTTGTAGCTCCAGGGATATCAAGACAATATACTTCAAATTGAGCTGGCAGGGGAATCATTCTTGTTGATTAGAATCAGTGAATGTTTTTCTTCCACAGATTAGAAGCAAAATTCAGTACCTATTATTTATTACTTACTTTATATACCAAATGCAATACTATTCCCTTAGAAGAGAATAGCCCAGAGAGTGCGCTTCATTATTATTATTATTATTATTATTATTATTATTATTATTGTTTGTATAACTGTGTCATGTTGTCATGAAGCTGCAGTTACATTCAGTTCCAGAAAATATGCACTACTTTTACCTTAAATTATTATTATATTGTCGATTTATAACTGTTTCATGCCTGACTGTTTCATGGGCGATGAACTCATGTGGTCTGGAGCTTTGGCAGAGCTTGTGTGAGCCAACAGTGTGAATTTTACACCTGATAGCCTTAATGACACTATTATTAAATCTCCTGCTAGTGAGGAGACTTTCCTTTTGGTTCTTCAAGACAAGCAGTGTAATGCTGTCCTGCTATCATGTCGGAGGGCGAGCAGCAGCTGCTCCATCTTCTTCTGGACCACTGAGCGTTTGGCTCAAAGTACTCACAGATACATTTCATATAGCACTCTATATAGATACACTTTTTTTTTTCTTTTTTTAGGTTTGCCGGTTAGCTTCTACATTTTTATTTCAAGGAGTATTTAGTGACATTCTCTTGCCATGAAGACATTATAGTTTTGTTTTTCATGGACTGGGAAAAGACTCAACGACTTAAAGAACATATGCGCATGTTTTAGGGTTAAGCAGAAATGAGTTGTCATACAACATCAGTAGAGGTGTTGTAACTGATGCAAAAAAAAATTCTCTGCTTCAATTCTGATCATAAGTTAAAAGGAACAGAAAATCAGATTTCACCATACTTGCTCAAAGGGTCAAATTTTGGTAATTGTTAGAGTGAGTTAAGTTTCCTTTAAATCCCAAATGCAGGGCAGATGTAAGAAGGGTGATGATGATGATGATGATGATGATGATGATGATGATGATGATGATGATGATGATGATGATGATCTGAAGCTGTTAAGAATGTACAGTCCAGAAAAAAGGTATGAGCATCTGGACACAGATGGTAAATTGCTGTCAGACCCTAAATAAATTATCCTCTGTTGTTACAGATGCTGTTTCAGCTGCTATTCCTTGAGAAGTTGACATATTGGTTACATTTCCACATGGAGTTTTTTTTTTTCTTTTTTTCGTGAGAATATTGTGCAGACACAAGAAAAGGACAGCTGACCTTCAGCGTAAGAAGTAGTTTATCAAGATTGCAAAACCGGATGCTGATAAGAGACCCATACTGCATCACTGAAAAGAAACATTCTCATTTTAAATGTTGTGCAAACTTCCTGTAGATCTAGTTCTTCATAAGGGCTGACATATCATCCATTAACTGTTTCATTAATCTTCAGTGAATTCATCCACAAAATAAAAGCTTTGCTAAATTACTAAATAACATATTTGTAGAACTCCAGATACATCATATATTTTTCTATAAACCTGAAGAACTTTAAAAATCACTAATCATGAACATAAAGTATTTTTTATGTTTCTTGCAAATAAAAAGGCATAGGGACAATAAGTTAGAAAGTGCATATTTTGCTTTTATTTACCGAATTATATTATATGCTACTGATTATGGAAACAGGTTGGTTGTCCTCAGAATATTTCATGACTTGATACTCACCAAACCCAAGGTTGCAACAGAAAGATAATGGTGTTAAATAGCAAAACAGCCAGCTGTTAGCCGTGTTACACTGTGGCCGTCTCACAAGAATATATATGTTCTAATATTACATGTCTTTTGCTTTTAGAAAGATAATGCTGTATTCTTGATGCAATATGTTGCAGTCCAAATTTTGCAATTTGCATGAGGGCATTGCAAACCCTCATGCTCCCAACCATCATACAATGCTCTCTCATGTTTTAACTTTTACAAACTTCCTGTGGATTTGCATGTTTATCAGCAACGACATACACCCCACACGAGTCTCAGCTAAGCTGTCAGAGTTGGATCAGACATTCTTCTGCAGAGGATTCATTAACAGCCAACAAGACAGCTTCACAAGGTATTTACTTCATTTTTCACCAAGCATGAAAGATTTCCCAGGAATATTGCTCTAAATATGTATATGTGCATAAAAAAACAGGAAATTCATTTTCTTACACTGTCACATGATGTAAAAACACAGGAATTTCACAGGACTAGTGCTAGTTTTCAAGAACAGGGGTGATGTGCAAAGCTGTATCTAAACTACAGAGGGATAAAGTTGTTGCCATACCATGAGGATATGTGAAAGAGTTGCTGAAGTCAGGTTAAGAAGGGAGGCGATGTTTGATAAGCAGCATTATGGCTTCATGCCAAGAAAGAGCACTGCAGATGTAATGTTTGCCTTGAGAATGTAGATGCAAAGTATAAAGAAGGTCAGAATTCATACAGGAGCAACAGAGAAGTATGTGATGGTGGTGCTGGACATGTATGAGAACAGCGAGACAGTAGGAGTGGCAGCTGGATCCAAGGTGAGGGTGGGATTACATCAGAGATCGGCTCTGAGCCCCTTCTTGTTTGCAACATTAGGTTGACAGATGAGGTCAGCAAGGAGTCTTTGTGGACTATGATGATGACTATGATGACATTGTGTTCTTTAGTGAGAGGACTGAGCAGGTGGAAGAGAACCTGAAGAGGTGACGGTATTCACAGAGTAGCAGGGAAATCTAGAGAAATTTTGTTAGCGTGGCTTGAGAGTGACATGGGATTCAGATGGGGTGGCAAAAACAATACCATTTTGAGTACATAAATTAGAAATGAGTCCTTCAGAGGAACACCTCAGGTGAACATTAGAGGCAAGACTGTGATGGTTTTGACATGTGCAGAGGGATAATGGATATATATTGGACAAAGGAAGTGTAAGATGGGGAAAAAAACAAAATCTTAGTCAAAGTTCCTAGATGTACTGTATGTCTTATAACATGAACATGCAGAAGGTTTGTGTGACTGAGGATTATGCTCAGCATCCCACATAGTAAAATTGGTATGGCCCAGATCTGACCCACACAATGTACTTACACATGGCCCACATACCACAAAGAATGACGGCCCTTTGGTGGCCCAGATCTGGTTTGCCAGAGGTGGCCCACACATGGGCCAGCACAAGGCCAGTTGCAGACACACTGCTGGCCCTGTGCTGGCCCAGAACAGTTTCAGCTCTGGCCCCAGATGTCAGCCTAATGTGTACCTTAATCAAGCCATGTAATAACAACATGTGCCAGAACATGCAACACGCGTTACTATTTGTCAACAAACAGATGGTTGAAGCTGTCTTCAGCTTACCACATCATATATCAGTTGCACGGAAGTAGCTGTAAGTAATCTAGGTGCTGCAGCTTTAAGCAGCTGCGCGCGCTCCTGCGGGCGGCAATCACTTTCTGGCAGACGATCACTTTTTGGCACAACACCTGTTGCTAGGGGGCAAAACAATCAAATGAGTGCTGCTGTTTGACTGAGAAAGAATAAAGTATTGGCAAGCCAATCACATGACCACTTCAAGATGACAAAGCAGCGAGGTGATATATACCAGTTTTTAAATTGTGTTGATAGGCCACATAAAACCACAGTCATGATAAACAATATATATGCTTATTTTTTTCCTGAATACTTTCGCCACGTTTACTGTCTAAGGACAGTGCTAGCAAGCACTCTCTGCTTATGACCAAAAATGTAAAAAAACAAGACAAAAACAGCCCTTTGTGTTGGTGGGAAAATGTACCATGTCGACCAATCAAAAATGATATGGCAACATGACATTTGGTTGTTTAGGAAGAGGGGGAAGTTTTAGGAGTGAGAGAGAGAGAGAGAGAGCAGGAAAAAAGAGAGAGTTTTGAGATGTGAGAGATTTGTGACCTTTAGCGTGTTTGGAGTGTGTAGCCAGTGTGTAATCAGTGTGTTGTCTTGTGTAGTGTTGTGGGTAGTTTTGTGTTGTGTGTCAGAACAATGAGGCGACTGCTGTCTCCAGATAGAAACCAGCAGTGATACACCTGCTGTCAGACCTGCAGGTATCAGGCTGTGATGTTCTCCTTTATAGTGGACAGAAATATTTGGAGTGGCACAAATAATTTGTGTGGCATCTTACTGAATGCAGAACACCTGATTGTTATGTAAATAGTTTGAAATGGTTATTTACAGTAAAAAATATAACTTTTCCTACTCGGATTTTATGCTTTTTGTCTCAATTTAGATCAATTGTGTTAATACAGTATGTCAAAATGAAAACATAACTGTAAATTCAGACACGTGAGGTTGTGCTGAAAAGGATGATACCAAACAAGGCAAAGTAAAGAGTTTTTAAAGGTGAAATGTAGAGGAAACATCAAAAGTAGTTAAAAATGGCCAATTATACCCTGGACCCCACTTCTTTTTTTTTAAAGTAATGCAATAGTTACTTTTCAAGTGAATAATTTCTTTTAGAATCTTGTAACTCAGTTACTAACTCGGTTACTTTTTTGAAAAAGTAACTAGTAACTATAATTAATTACTTTTTCAAAGTAACTTACCCAACACTGCTGCTATGTGGGATAGTGTCACATGAAGGCAAATGATCCACTCTGGTGACCCTTAAAGAGTGCAGCAGAGAAAAGAGAGAAAAACTAAAAAAAACTAAATCACACTTTACAACTTTACTTACAACACTTGATTACAGAAAAGGTGTGCTTTTTTGAGGATTTCAAATTTTGAGATAATGTCCTTTCATGTTTGTCTAATTGTCTGGGAGCTATGCTGACATACTGCCTTAGACTGAATGTCACCATAGTTCAGTTTCAGTTTCCTATTAACTTTGACTGGGAGCTGAACTTTTTACTTGACTTTACTTTACTTTACTTATTGTTTTTCTTTGCAGGTCTAAAGTCAGTGAGGAAGATGACCACTAACTCTTTCAATCCAATCAATACAACTGCTGCACCTAATGGAAATGGCTCCGAGAATAGTGACAGTAATGGTGGGCTTAACATCATGTCTCTCATAATTTATTCCCTGGCTTTTGTCCTCGGTGTGCTCGGGAATGGAGTGGTCATCTGGGTGACCGGGTTCAAGATGAAGAAAACTGTTAACACAGTTTGGTACCTCAACCTTGCTGTGGCTGACTTCATCTTCACTGCGTTTTTGCCCCTGAGTGTGACTTACACAGCTTTGGATTTCCACTGGCCTTTTGGCAACTTCATGTGCAAGCTGAACACCACCATAAGCTTTCTGAACATGTTTGCCAGTGTCTACATTCTGGTGGTGATCAGTGTGGACAGATGTGTGTCTGTGGTGTGGCCCGTCTGGGCTCAGAACCACCGAAATGTACGCAGAGCATCCTATGTGAGTCTGTGTGTTTGGGTGGTGGCTTTGATTCTCAGTGCTCCATACTTCATCTTCAGGGACACTGAACAAGGCTCTAACAACATGATTTGCTTCAACAACTATGCTCTTTCTGATGACTATGAAACACCATCGGTGAAAAAGTTAAGGGAATTTCGTCATCAGGCCATGACTATCACACGCGTCCTCCTAGGATTTGCTGTGCCCTTCACTTTCATTGTCTTGTGTTATGCTGTTATAATCCATCGTCTCAGAAGAAACCGCACACTGGCCAATCAGTCAAGTCGCCCCTTTAAGATCATCGCTGCCATTATCATCACTTTCTTTCTATGCTGGGCTCCCTTTCACATCATGGGTCTAATTGAGATGGCATATCACATGCCAGAATATTCAAGTGAGATATTAGATGATATCGTCACAATTGGGTTACCAATAGCCACCAGTCTGGCCTTTCTCAACAGCTGCTTGAATCCACCGCTGTATGTGTTCATGGGCCAAGATTTTAAAGATAAAGTCCGCAAATCCATCCTGATTGTGCTGGAGAGTGCCTTCCAGGAAGAGGAGACACGCAATTACACTTACACAAAGTCAGTGGACACCAGTCAGAACCAAGAGAGTTCAGATTTGAATACTGAGGTATAAGAAACAAAATAATTAAGCTGTAAAGCATATGTCAAATTGCTTATGGGCTTTTTACTACCTTAAGTATGATTCAGATATGTGACTGATGCAGTTGTGCTATGCAGACTTGCTGTTGGTTTCTTTGATTCACAGCTGTGCATTCAGGCTGCTTGTTTTTGAAATTCAATGGAATTGTAAAATTCCTTTTTCACTATTTGTTATCATTATTATATCCTTACGCTCATCTGCTTTGTATAATATTTTTCTAAAATTTTAACAAAATGAACTCTTTGTAAACGCTTCTATGTCTATGTAAAGAATATAATACATATGTACTTTTCCACTTTTTCACTTCTTCTCAGCTATGGTGGCATCAATAAAAGATGGCAATGATGATCATTCTTTCATACCATCATTTAAATTTTGAGAGTATATTTGGACTTAACTGTTTCTCCACTTATACATCCTATAATCACCACATGTGGGCTCAAACTATATATATATATTGTATTGTATTGTATATCTATAAATAAATCCTCATATGTGTATCAATTAATCCAACATCTAATAAGAAGCATCTAATGACAGCAGCTTATCACTATTCAAAAACAAGTAACAGAAAACACTGATTATTATAACATCAACCAGTAGAGGGAGCTGTTTGCATACTAAAACGTCATTGCACCGCCACGCATGATTGAGTTGCAACTTCTAATAACTAAATTAAGAAAATCAGACAAAATGCGCTTTGTTTCTCTTATGTGTTGACTAGACAGGAAGTGCATGGTTAAATCTGCCATTTATAAGCATAATCATTTTTGGTGCACTTCTTATGCCAAAGCTATTTATTAAAAGTAGGCAAACAAGTGAAATAAAGGGTGAATTAAGACAATACAGTGTTTATAAGATGACATGTAATTATCCTGTGTAAATAAATAAACAAACACACAACACAAACAAATATATAAAATTCATGAAACATGCATTTTGAACAGTTTTGTTTTCAGCACAGTTTTGTGTTCAGCCACACAGTTGCACCTGAAAGCAAATACAAATGCATATTCTCAAAGACATTTATTCAGATTAAGATAAAATCTAGTCAAATAAACATAAATATAAATGGAATAAAATGAA